GTTACGGAAACAATATTTTTGACGCACGTGTATCTATCTGCCTAGAATATTCCTCGTAATGTATTATCGCTGCAAAAGTATAATGGATCAATTACTCTACAGTGTGATTATTATAATGGTTTTGATTTATTAGCGTTTACATAATCATGATTTTATTGAGCATTACTCATACAATAATTACTTTTTTCTTCTCGCTATCTAATATTCTTTAAAGTGAAAATGATAATATTTATATATTTATGTCAGCACTGGATGCTATTTTTCACAATTAATTTACAGTAGTTGTTTTAAATACTAAAATTTTATATTTTTGTACTTATCAAATTAGCAAAATAATCTTTACTACTTTCCAGTAATCACTCAAGTGATATGTCAAAGGGCATATAATGCGAGGGCAAAGGCTAATTAAAGCTATATCTTTAATTCTCCGTAACTAAAAAAAATTGGTCATAATTACTGTTAGTGAATAAAAAAAAGCGAGTTTTTTGATACTGGCTATTGGCGAAAAATAATATACTGTTGAGTTTAAATTCATTGCTGCTTATTTTACAATCCGACCTTTAACCTTCATCATAAAATGTGAGATATAATAGAGTACAAACTTATTTCAAACTTATTTAAAAGAGCTTACAGTGCTCACGTATGAAATTGGAACTCTATTTTAACACGTTTATGAAAAAAAAAAACATTATCCTCTCGCAGTACACATGCAAGTTGTTGCTTAGTTTGCATCAAAAAAGTATTTCCTACTTTACACTTATACTTTTGCTTAGATTACAGCTGCTAGATTGGTTCTGCTTAATTTTAACTTGTCAATCACTCATTCGTTCATTCTCCCATTCACTCATTCCAATCATTCATTCTTTAATTCATTCATTCATTCATTCAGTCATTCACTTATTTATTCTTCAATTTATTTTTCAGAAAAGCAGACAAGAAGAATTCAACTTGCGCTATACTTTAAGATTGTTTTTCCAACACTGCGAACGATTAACTTTCATGCAAAAATGTCGACATTAAGCGCATATCGTATGTAAGTATTCACTTAATTAAGTTTCACTTAATTAAACAATTAATAATAGTTATTGTTGTTAACATCTGTAAATTGTAAACAAATCTGAACCTAATTTTGCATCACGTATATCACGTATTATCAAAAAAAAATCTGGACCTAATTTTATATCACGTATATCACGTTTTGCCTAATGATTTTTTTGATAAATTAAATTAATTTTTAATAAACTATCTTACGGTAACAACAATTATAAATGGAAAAACTTTACAGCTCTGCATTTTTAGCAAAATTTATGTGATAATCGTGTTTAACTACTATACTACTTAAACTTAAAAATTAAATTACTGTATATTAAAAAAAAGTTAAGTACCATTTCTTGTCAACTTTTACTACCATTACGTCGAATCTAATTACCACAAATAACGTTATTAATTACGGTTGAGCACACTGACAACATACGACAGATTGTTGATTGCAGTACTATGAATGAATTTTTGTTGTTGTTTGATATGGTTGCTAATTAGTGCAATAATTACTACAACTCCGATTACTGAAAGTTTTAAAACGTTATAACTTGTACTTTCACGTATAATTTCACGTATATATCTGAGTTTAAAAATGTGCAATTATAAACGCAGGATACTGATTATACCGTGTATATCTGATCTATTCTATTCATAGCTTCTCTTTTCTCGCAGGTAAAAACACGTTTATTTTAAATTTATATTCCACGAGTAAATTAATCAATGAAAGAATATCATTGCTAGCATTTTACGTAAACGTGAAAAAAGTATTTTTTACATAAATTGAAGATGAAAGCCGCTAGATTTTTTAAAAAAGGGGGACTTTTAGGATAGAAAAATAAAAAAATAGCTGAAAGCTGGTAACTACATGCTAGGCTTATTTGTCTTTCTTAGGCTCTTGAAGCATTGATTGCTGGCCAGAGGAGCCTGGCTGGCTGGCTGGCTGGCTGACTGGCCAAGAGCCCAGCTGGCCTTTTATTGAGAAAGGGCTTACTGAGGCTGTGAGCTCTGAGCACAAACCTACCTGGCTATGTTCCGACCCATTAAGTAAGTGTATTTTTACTCTCGTCATATATAATAAATTACTTACTTAATTACTTAACCATACTTATCACTCAAATATTTATACTTGCATTAATTTATGTTTTACGTTCTCTGTGTACATAAACTATTGTTACTTTCTTGCAATACTTATCTAATCTTATGTTTTTAGTCTTTTCACTATCCTATTCGTACTTATATGATGTATGCGTGTGATTATTTATTTGTGTATACGTGAGTGTGTATACGTGTGCACACGCGATAAATGAGTAGGCATCATTTGGAAACAAATCAATAAAATGGCAGTGTGCACTTGCCCGCCTGACACTCACAGGCAGAATTGACAGCACTATTTTTCATTTGTCGGAGAATTTGCAGTGGCAACACGTTTAGTTATTCATATATTTTCTTTTGCAAATGAAACACACGCCTTATGCACTTCTTACTTTCATGCATGTGTCTTCGTACATTACAAATGTTTTACGTACGAACTTTGTTACACTTTTTAAAATTATTTATATACTTTTTACGTTTTGCACAGATTAATACAAACACGTGCGATACGTGTACGCAAAAGAAAAGTTGAATTCTTAGTATGTTTCTTTTTAAAACTCCTTATATTTATTGGCAATATAAATATTATTGCTAGAATACAAGTATTCTTTTTAGGAATTTGTGTGCAACAGCAGTTATTTTTAAAAATTATAAGGTTACGAGAATAATTACATATTTTTTTGTGAGAAGAATAGAATATGAATGTGAAGTTAATTTTTGTAGGAAGAAAATCGAAGACATTGGCAGGATGACAGCTTTGTCACAGGAAGAAATTCTGTTAAGTACGCGAATGATTGTTCAAGGCTTGGAAGCACTCAAAGATGAACACGAATGCATCAAGGCAAGGATTTAATTGCAAATATTTAATATTATTTGAGCTTGAATTAATGCATGTACAAAATTGATCTAATATTGTTCTACCTGAATTCCATTTTAGTTATTTCTATAGCTTTCAATAAATTTATTAACTCAGTAGAAGAGTAAATAACTTAATGCCGTATTGTAGAACAATCTGGTGAGTAGTATTCAAGGGCTGAACACCGAAGAGTCTGCTCTCATTGAGGAAAAAACTCATATTGTGGATCGAAACTTAGAAATGTTGCGTCTGGGCATGGAGGAAGCTCAGGTTTATTACTAAATGCTCGTTTTGTTTTTAAATTTGTAGCATTTCGGTTTTGTAATTTTGTTTTTAAGGTGATGATGTCATTAGCTGGTCATCTGCAGACTATTGAAGCAGAAAAACAAAAGTTAAAAGCACAGGTACGAAGACTTTGTCAAGAAAATGCATGGCTCAGAGATGAACTGAATTCTACGCAACAAAAACTGCAACTTACTGGACAGGTCTATAAGTTATCAATTGTGAATACCAGAAATTCATTTGATGAAATCATTTATTGTGACTTTTTGTTTTGCAGGAAGTAGCACAGCTAGAAGAGGAGAAGAAGCATTTAGAATATATGAATTCAATTAAGAAATATGATGACCAACAGGTAACTGTAATTGAATAGCTGCAAACGAAATTTTATATGTCATTCGGCCTTATTTCATTTTTAGATTATTTGTCGTACTTATTATACTTCTTATACTTCATAGAGTGGTGTTAATCATTTCTAGTAATTACTGGTAAGATTCTATATAGTATAATTCACTGTATTAATCATAATTTAAGCTTGAGATTTAAAAATTTTTTTAACAGTTGAAGTAAATTTTTCGTGTACACTTTTTTATATTTAAGGGATCTCTGTAGCATTATGATATTTATGGCAGTACTTTCGAAGTATTATTGCTGAAGTAGTTCGTCTGCATGTAGTATTGATTAAAATTTCACTATATGAATGGATGAATATTTATCTATATTTATATGCAAGTATTTCTAGGAAAGTGATAGAGTCATGGAACAGAGTGATAGTCGGACCGATAACACTCTACAAGACTTGGGATTTGGTCCGGAAGAAGATGAAGAAATGAGTGGTATGCTTATTCAAAGATATTACGCAGTAGACTAATTATATGTTTATGTGTTGTTTTGAAACTTATACTAGGCTAACATTTCAAAGCTGAATGATTAGTTTAGCAAGTTACAGGGCAAATGGCTGCACAGTTTGCACATCCAACGCCAGCTCATTCGATGGCAGCGAGTGCATCTGCTGGTTATGAGATTCCAGCACGACTTCGAACTTTGCACAACTTGGTAATTTTTTTTTTCAAATTCTCTGAAATCCCTTTTTAAGTTCAAGCTCAAATTCTATTTTACAGGTTATACAATATGCATCGCAAGGAAGATATGAAGTAGCTGTGCCGTTATGCAAGCAAGCTTTGGAAGATCTAGAAAAAACAAGTGGACATGACCATCCAGATGTTGCAACAATGCTTAATATTCTTGCACTTGTTTACCGGTATTTATTTAACAAAATAAAAAAAATGAAATCTTGACTATGTTTCACATTTTAAACACGTTATAATTTTTTTAGTTAAAATTACTTATATGATTGATATAGTTAATCGAAGTGTTTCATTAAGGGATCAAAACAAGTATAAAGAGGCTGCTAATTTATTGAATGAAGCATTGCATATACGCGAAAAATGTCTTGGTGAAAGTCATCCTGCTGTTGCTGCAACTCTTAACAATCTAGCAGTATTGTATGGTAAACGGGGAAAATATAAAGACGCTGAACCACTTTGTAAAAGAGCTCTGGAAATCCGAGAAAATGTTCGTTTGTCAGTGACAAACTTTGTTTAATTAGTTAAAAAAAAGTTATTAGTAGGAATTAAAATTTTTAGACTTTCTCTTCTTTATATAATGATCTTTTTATAAGCCATTTGCTTTGTAACTTGTTTGACTAATTATTAGCCTTAGGCTAAGATTTCAAGGCATAAGTTAAATTACAACATATAAATATATGCATTGATAGAAAAGAAACTATTGACTTCAGGTACTTGGTGCAGACCACCCAGATGTAGCAAAACAATTAAATAATCTTGCTCTGCTTTGCCAAAATCAGGGTAAATATGAAGAAGTTGAAAAGTATTATAAACGAGCACTCGAGATTTATGAGGCAAAATTAGGTCCTGATGATCCAAATGTAGCGAAAACAAAGAATAATTTGTCATCAGCTTATTTAAAGCAAGGAAAATATAAGGTATTTGTTTTTCATCCAAAACTAGATATATGTGGTTGGAATTGAAAGTTAGCTCTCAAAGTATGCATTCATAATTTAAAAAATATTGCTCATTGCAGTAACATATTGCACTGCGAAATAAAGCAAAAGTTTTGAATGGTATTAGGAAAGCGAATCTCATATAGGAATAGTTCTGACATTTCATTCACATTGTGTTGATGCCTGTAGTTTAGAAATAATGAATCAAAGTTTAGTTCTTGATTTGAATTCATTCAGGATGCGGAAATTCTATACAAGCAAATACTGACGCGTGCGCATGAACGCGAGTTTGGCAAAATTGCAGATGATAATAAACCGATATGGCAGATTGCAGAAGATCGTGAAGAAAGCAAGCATAAAGGAGCTGATGCAGTTACATATCAAGAATATGGTGGATGGCATAAAGCTGCTAAAGTCGATAGGTAATTAACTGATGTGTTGTGATTGTATTGATCTATATTTGCAGTTTCTTTGGTGCTATTTAGCTTTGTTTTTCATTTGAAAATTCCTCTTTTCTGTGAAATAATAATATGAATTCATATATGTCGCGAAGAATTGTTTGGCATTGAAGGTCTTATTTTGTCTATTCTACCTTCAGCAGATTTTTGGCTTATGAAATGTTGGCTTTTATTTTATACTTGCAAAGACACTGCAAAATTTTAGAGGCATTGAATTATGTTTCAGTCCAACTGTAACCACTACATTAAAAAATCTTGGAGCATTGTATAGACGTCAGGGAAAATATGAAGCAGCAGAAACTCTTGAAGATGCAGCACTGCGAGCAAAAAAACAAGTAAGCTTTTGCTATTCATGTTTTAAAAAAATTTGAATGATAAATTGATTTCATTGAGAATAAAATAAATCTTTTAGGTACAATAATCATGTTAGTCATGTTGTTACTTTTCATAATCTTTGAATTCAGTATCAGTATGTATATTAACTTTAATGATTCTGAGCGTGAATAAAATAGCCCGGAATGCTTCATGAGGGAGATGATATTGATACTGCGAAACACTGAATGTGAATGAAGTGATCCGAAAGCTGACATTCTATGAAGTTTCCATTTATAATCAGTAACATTTGACTTGTTGTGCTAAAGTTTCTTCTCAGTAGTATTTTACTAGTGGTTGTTTTATTTATTTTGGTTGACCACATATCGAGCTTTCACTTTTTTTTGTGAATAATCTTTATGTGTCTAAACATAGGTAGTTTAAGTTTAAGAGTTAATAGAAATATGAGGAGATTGTGTTGCAAGATTTGTAGTGCTTGGATGCAGCTCATCAGGCGAAAGTAGCTCGCTTGATTGCCGAACATGCAACTGGTTTATCATTACATGGTGCGGGTGTTAAGGTTTGTTCAAGTCGTGTACTTTTGAAGTATTATCCTTTCTTCAGATGTATAATTTGTGATGTAGTTTCTTCTCACGTCGTAGCATCATCTTTATTTTAAAAGAATGAATTTCAAGATATATAAAAAAAATTTTTTTTCGATTTTAAATGAAATTGTACAATTATTGTCACTTTTTTGCATGTGAAATGTATTTTATTTTGTTTTATTACAAACCCTCTATTTTATTTTTCGCATCAAGTTAATAGTTTTGACAAAATTACTATGTCATTTGTGTATTTGAAGTTATTTTTTGTTTAATTATATTTATCACTGATATTGATGAAGTAGTTCATAGTGCTAAAACGAGCTATCCGTTTTCAAACACTGCAGTCAATTTTTGAGTTCTTTCAATTATATCTCTTCGGCGTAGGAAGGAATAAGTAGTTTAATATAATGAGTACTTGCTTCTGAAGCTTTAATAATGACAGAAAGGGATGCTGTATTTATCGTGAAGTTAAGTATTTGTTTATTTTTTCTTGTTATTGTAATTGTTGTTTGTGAATGCGCACTTGGTATCACAATTGATTTTTGATGCATTTATTAAATTATTATTCATTTTAATGTGACAGGAGAAGAAACTTGATTATATGCGCAAATGAATGGAGTGTATAGGTTTTGAATATTTGCAGCATGAGCCACCTGTGTCTGGTCATCAGTCGGCATTAACAGCTACTAGTACGTATGCAGATGATACGCTAATGTCTACTGCTGCTCCCTCTCAAGCAAATCGTGGTATGACGCAATCGCAATCATCATCTGGCTTAAAATCACGTTTGTTTAACGCACTCGGACTTCAACAGCAGCAACAATCGCCACAGGCGTGATGTTCAAAATTCAGGAAATTACTGTACTATTATTCCTATCTTTTCCTTCCGGTTTGTATTGCTCTATCCCAATTTGTCGTTGCTTTGTTGCTTTTGTTGTGGTGTTTGGACATTTATTTGTGCTAACGATTTGGTTATGATTAAGCTAATCAAAAAGCTTTCTTACGTTGGTTACTTGGCTTTAAGCTCTTTTTATACTTTATGGTTAGAGTGGACATTATTTTTCTCTAACAGTGATGTGTTCCTTCATTTCATGGTAATAGAGCATCTTATGTATCAATGAATTAATTATATTGATCTGTCTTTTTGTTCGTATTTAGCTGATTCTACGAGCGCAGTCTGTTTTTGTTGCCTGATAGATGAGGCAGGTTTGCTTGTAAACATGACAGTGCATGCCAGACAATGTTCTCGTACTTTTTTCCATTCATTTTCAAGCTGTGATATTATCTCATCATTTGGTTTTTATAAATTAATCGAGCAATTTATTTTATATTTCTCGAATTTCAGTTTTATTTGATTTTTTGTGTCTTGGAACTTAAGACTTTTGCTTGATTTGATTCTGTATTATTAATAGAATGATTTTCTATGTATTTATATGAATTAAGGCGTTTTAGATTACTACCATCATTAATTGTATTGTGTAATATCAACATTTACTTACTAGTGTATTAACCAGTAACGTGTTAAGTAATCCACTTCTTCTGGAATCACTAATCGCCTTTTCAATATCGTATGATTTCGTGTAATATTGAAGGTTAACTTTAAATTTAGATCTCGTTTGTGGTTGGAATATCTTTTTACTGTGTTAGTAGTGGGAAGTTTTTATTTACTAATTGATGACTGCATAAGATAGTTCATTTTGTTTGAATTAAGCTTGAAATGAGATAAAACTGAGGAAGAATTTCTCGGAAAAACGATGAAGGCAAGAGAAGATGCAGATAAGTAAATCGATCGTCTACAACAGATGATGTATAAATTATGGCAGAGAGTATTCAGTACAGATAGCTAAGGTTTCACGACGATTGACACCGGACTTACCATGAATATGTGCTAAAGGGATATATTATAAAGTACTTTACGAATGAAAGTTTTATTTCAGTTTCAAGCAGAACGAGGCAAGTGAGGGGGATATTTCACGCTCATTGGTTCAGACTAAATTTATCGGTGGTTCGTCTCAGTAGTAATGATAGTCTGGACAAATTTCTGCGTCAGAATCCTCTTTTCTACGTCTCAACCTATCTTTTTCAAGTTTTCTACATTTTTATTTCTGATTGAGTAAGCGAAGAACTTTCATTATTACTATTTTTTTTTTCATGGTTCTCTTTTCTTCATATATTGTTTTATCTCTGTATTTGAGTAATTTAAGTCACGCGAAAGAAGGTGATTTAAGATTTTTCCATCTGTTTTTAATTTGAAGTCAGAAGAAGTAAAAAGTGAGCTGAAATGTCAAAAAGATTTTGCTTGCATCTGCTCTTTGAAAAATTCTTAATTTGTCTCTAGTGATAAGGTATTTCTTATCTCACTTTATTGAAAATCACATTTATGTGGAAAAAATTCTTTATTATATTTTTGCAAGCGCTTTATCATATAAATCAAATTACGTGAAAAATTATTGGTGATTTGAGATCCTTGACGATGAATAATCATCTATTTCTAAAATTGATGTATTCAATTTTATGAACTGTCAGTAGTTAATTACTTGATCTTACTTCTTGCATACAATCTTAAAATTAGTCTATTTTTCTAGACGAACCAAATATTTGGCTTCTTTTCTATATGCTACGCATTTTTATTGCTTGTATGAAATTATTGATAAATTTTAACTCCTAGTTTTTATTATTTGAAGTAAGCCTAGTTTGCACTTGAATCTTTATTGATGAGTTCTGATCACTTGAATATCAAATAAAGACAGAAATATTCTTGAAAACATTTAAAATCTTCTGTAAGTTCAAGACATGACGAAACTTTGAAAATTGATTTCAGATTTCTAAATCTACCAAAACTCTTCCCAAATTCCTTAGTATATTTTGCTTGTTTCCGCTTTTGTTAATAAAATTGCATGCTGAATCGTAACTTTCTTCCACATAGTTTACACAGAAAATGTTGTTTATTTATTTTAAACTGTTTTATTTATTTGACCTGTTACTATGTGTACTTTACTTTACAGTGATTTTCTTTAATTACAAAAACTATTGAATGGAAATTTATAAAAGCTTTCAGAACTCAGATCGTTCCCCTTTTAAGGAAGTCGAAGTACAAGACTTTTACTGTGCTTCTGTTGTACTAGGTATATTTAATTCTAGTTTTCATTTGAAATATACATCACTGTAAGAGTATTATATTTTTGTTGCCTTTCTTATGAAAACGATATAATATTCAACTGTATTATTTGAAAACTTTTTCAAGAATACTTAGTTGATTTCATTCCTGCTCTCTATTTTTGAAGACGAGTTGAAGCTTGATTTGAATATCAGTACGAAGTTCTATTAATTGCTCGAAATTCTTAGCTTCTTTTTTGTCTAATCTCTTTTAAATCTTTTTCATATCATTCAGCTTATAAAATATTTCAGCAAATTTCACTATGGTTATTTTGATAAATTACCACTTTTATTGAAATAATTCGATCTCTCATTACTTCCAGTCGGCCATCATCACATTGTACGTTATTAATAATTTTTTTTAATGAATATACTTGAAACTTTTTGGTCTTCGCCGCAACGATCTACAGCGTTACATGGTGCCTTAAATGCTGATTGATTCCAATGATGTATTCCTTGTCGAGATTTCATATATTTTGTAACATCTTCAGTGTCTGTATATTTTTAATAGTTTTTAAACACTTTATAAATATCTATATTACTAAATAATTTTAGCAATTTTAATGTAATATTAAAAGCAGGATTAATCTATAATTCCTATTTAAATATAACTATTTAGCCATCAATTTTCCTGACATAATATTTCTCATCTTTACATTATCTTAAGATATTTCCAAATAATAATGCTTATTGCTAGCAACATAAAACGCATTAAGCTGATTTTATTGTCTTTTTT